TGGTACTTCCTTAGAAGTATGTCAGACGAAGCCTCAGAATCCTTGCCTCCGAGGAGCAGCCTGGTTTAACCCTCTCCAGGATGAATCTGTTTGTTTTCTTAGCAGTCCATGGTACATTCAATACTCTACCCCAACACCACAACTCAAAGGCATCAATTCTCCTTCTAACCTTCCGAGTCATTAGCCAACTTTCTGATGCATAACAAGTGATTGCAAAACCATGGCCTGTTTCAGATGTGCCTTAGTCTCCAGAGTGAAACCACTGCTCTTCAGTGCTTTGGAGAGCTCCCTAACAGTAGACTTTCCCATCGCAATACATCTTTCAATTTCCTGGCTATTGGTGCCGAGAGTGTTGACTGTGGAGCCAAGCAAACCAAAGCTGTGAACAATCTTAATCTCTTCACCACCCATCCTGATGCTGCCAATTGGTCCAGTGGTGAGAATCTTTGTCCTCTTGACATTGAGTCTCAATCCATACTGAAGGCTGCAGTCCTTGAACCTTTGCAGCAAGCGCTCCTCAGGTTCAGCAAGCAGGGTTGTGTCATCTGCATAACGCAGATTATTGATAGATCTTCCACCAATCTTGACCCCACATTTCTCCTCATAGAGCCCAGCCTCCCGGATAATCTGTTCTGCATACAAGCTGAAAAGGTATAAAAACAGGACACATCCCTGGCATACACCCTTCCCAATTTTGAACCATGCAGTGTTTCCTTGCTCTGTTCTGACGACCACCTCTTGGTCCAAGTATAGGTTTCGCAGTGAGCCACAGTTTGTTATGATCCACACAGTCAAACACCTTTGCATAATCAATGAAACACAGATATACATTCCTCTGGTATTCCCTGCTTTCAGCCAAGATCCATCTAACACTAGCTACAACATCCCTAGTACCATGACCCCTTCTAAACCCAGTCTGGACCTCTGGCAGTTCTCTGCTGATGTGCTGTTCCTGTCGTTTTTGGATAATCTTCAGTAGAATCTTGATTGCATATGAAATCAATGATATTGTTCTATAGTTTCCACACTATGTTGAGACACCCTTCTTTGGGATGGTAACAAACATAGATCTCTTCGAGTCAGTTGGCCAAGTGGTTGTTCTCCAGATTTCTTGGCACAACTTGGTTAGCACATCCAGGGCAGCATCTGTTAGCTGAAATATGTCAATTGGTATACCATCTATTCCTGGGGCCTTATTTTTTGCTTATATTTCTTATATATTTGCTTATATTTCCTTCAAAGCAGCTTGAAATTCTTCTTTCATCACCATAGGCTCTTGCTCATATGTTGTTTCATGAAATTCCTCTGTGTCTGCCAATTCCTTTCAACACAGTTACTCAGTATATTCTTTCCATCTTCTTTTAATACTTCCTGGACCATTTAATATTCTTCCTAAAGCATCCTTGATTACAGCAATTCGAGGTTTCAATTTGTTCTTCAGTTCCTTGACCTTACGAAATGCTGAGCGAGTTCGGCCCTTTTAATTTTCTGACTCCAACTCCTTGCACATTTTATTGTAGTATTTTACTTTGTCTTCCCACGCTGCCTTTTTGAATCTTCTGTTCAGCTCTTTATTATCTTGAATTCTTCCTTCTGTTTTGGCTTCTCTGTGCTCCAGTGCATATTCACAGTTTCTTCTGACATCCATTTTGGCCTTTTCTTCCTCCTCTGTCTTTGTAATGACCATTTGCATGTTTCCTGGATGATACCTTTGATATCTTCCCACAACTCATCTGGTCTTCACTCATTAGTGTTCAAGGCCTCAATCCTGTTCCTGAGATGGTTCTAAAATTCAGGTGGGATAGACGCAAGGTCATATTTTGGTTCCCATGGATTCAATTTAATTTTTCTTAGCTTCAGCTTGAACTTGCATATGAGTAGTTGGTGGTCTGTTCCACAATCAGCTCTTGGCCTAGTTTTCACAGCTGATACTGAGCTTCTCCAGCGGTTCTTTCCACAGATGTAATCTATTTGATTCCTATGCATACCATCAGGTGAAATCCACATGTATATCCTGTGTTTATGTTTCTTATAAAACGTATTTGCAGTGAATAAGTCATTGCTTGTGCAAAATTCAATTTTTCTATCTCCAGCTTCATTTCTGTCACCGAGTCCAAGTTTCCCAACTACTGATTCTTCTTCTCTGTTCCCAACTTTTGCGTTCCAGTCACCCATTATTATTAATGCATCTTGATTGCATGTTAAATCAATCTCCGACTGTAAAAGTTGGTAGAAATCTTCTATTTTCTCTTCTTTGGCTCGGGTTGTTGGTGCATATATCTGAATGATAGTGGTATTCACTGGCCTTCCTTGTATGCATACAGATATTATCCTGTCACTCACAATATTGTATTTCAAGACAGATCTAGAAATGTGGCTTGTTTATGGGCCATATATAAGTGGAATCATATTATTCAAAGCACAAAATCAACTACTTCTCAAAGACTATTTAACCAGTTGTTATAATTGTATGTGATCAAATGCATATAATATACTTCTTACAATATGATCTAGAAGCTTTGCCTCTACTCAAACTCTTGCTGGTAAAGCATTAAGAGATCTGCTTCACTCCCTTAAATATCTGTGGTAAAATCTATACTTTGGTTTTAAGAACTGTGGTGAACTTTGGTGCCAAGGTGGAAGTTCACAGGACTAGACACACTGTCAGGAAGGTAAGTAAGGGACACGTGAAGTAAGGGACAGCAAGGGCAAACCAGAACCTGCCAGGATGGGCTGAAACCCAAAGGGCATTCACAAGTGTCTTTCACTGACTCTAAACTGTCAACTTCAATGAGGCTGCCATATGGAAAACTTGATATCTTTCATTCAGCTAAATGAACACCTAGCCCAAGAGTGACAGAAACCAAAGAGAAAAGTCAGCAGCTTTAACAAGTCACAGGACCAGGTCCAGCTCCAACCAATGAGATGTCCCAAAATAAAAATATGACTGCTGCTTCCAAATCTCCTGCGGAATGTTCCTACTTGTGCCTGTGCTAACCCAAAACTACGTGGGGAAGGGAATTCTATGGAACACAGTCCCAAGTGCTTGAAGAGAACTATGGATCAAAAAGTAAGCAACACTCACTTCCTGCTTGCTGCTTGGTGCTTCTACTATACTCACTCTTTTAATCCTTTTCTAGTCATTTTAAATTAAATAATACATATATATGCTACAAAGTCAAAAATTTTTAACATACAATAATAAAAGCCCAGTTTTATTCAACTCATATTTTACTATAATTGTTATTGTTTTTTGTTGTTATGTGCCATCAGTCTCTCCTGCCACAGGCCCAAGGTATGTGACATGGAGCTTTAAAATCCTAGCCTCCTAAGAGAAACTTGGTTTCACACCTCTCCAACACAGATCTATTTGTTTTCCTGGTGGTCCATGGTATGCTCAAGACTCATCTCCAATACTACAACTCAAAAGTATCAATTTTTCTTCTGTCATCCTTAGTCATTGTCCAGCTCTCTGATGCATAGCAAGTAATTGTGAAAACCATGGCCTAGATCAGGCGCACCTTAATCTCTAGACTGACATCATTGCTTCCCAGTACTCTGGAAAGGTCCCTGACAGCAGATTTACCTAAAGCAATTCATCTTGTGATTTCCTGACTGCTGGTGCCAAGAGCGCTGATTGTGCAGCCAAGCAATCTGTAATTGTTAACAACCTCAAACTCTTCTCCATCTATCATAGTGCTGCCAATTGGCCCTGTGGTGAGAATCTTTGTCTTCTTAATGTTGAGCTTCAATCCATATTGAAGACCACAGTCCTTGACCTTCTGCAACAAGTGTTTCAGGTCTTCTTTAGTTTCAGCACCCAAGGTTGTGTCATCTGCGTATCATAGGTTATGAGTCTTCTTTCAATCCTGATACCACATTCCTCCTCATAAATCCCAGCCTCCCAGATGATCAGTGCTTCATATAGATTGAAAAGGTAAGGAGACAGAATGCATACCTGATGATTCCTTTCCTGGTTTTGAAACATGCAGTGTTTCCTTGCTCTGTTCTGAGGACAGCTTCCTGGTCCTAGTATAGGTTTTGCATATGCCCAATTAAATGTTCTGTGATTCCCATTCTCCACAAGGTTAGACACAATTTGGTGTGATCTACACAGTCATACACTTTTGCAAAGTCAATGAGACCCAGATAGACACTCCTCTGGTACTCTTTGTTTTCTGTCAAGATCCATCTGAAAGTGACACTAATGTCTCTAGTGCCACGACCTCTTCTATACCCAGACTGTGTTTCTGTTAGTTCTCTGCCAATGTACTATTCCAGTTGTTTCTGGATAATCTTCAGCAGGATTTTACTTTTGTGTGATATGAATAATATTATATAATAATTTACACACTTTGTCGAGTCATCTTTTTTTTTGGACTGGGATAAATATGAATCTTTAATAATTATGTCCCATAAAGTCAATTATAACTCATAACGATCCATGCAATTATTTTGACCTTGCCCTATCCTGAGCCAACTTCACCATCTCCGGCACACCTGACCTCATTGCCATAGTCACTATGTCAATCCATTGCACCGAGGGTCTTCCTGTCATGTTGTTAGAGGTGCTAGTCTTTGGGGAAAGACATCATATTTGAAAGGGAAGAGATCAGCACATTTTACTAGGTAATACTACATAGCTTAATGTAGCCCTAAAGTTTTCTACCAGTTCACACTTTTCCTTTGCTTCCACAATCAAAATATAACACGGCTAGATGGATTTGTCCCTAAATTTAACATGTAGTTTATACCTAAGGACACAGTCAATATGCAACACTTCAATCAGATTTGTTTTTTCCTACTTGGAAAATACAAATAAAGATTAAATGCCTCTGAAAACCCACCGGAGGGTCAGCTATGGGTTGGTTCAGACTACAGGACACAACAACAACTTGGAAAATACAAATAAATATTATAGGTTAGAGGCAAGTTTTTTGAACTATGAAAAACAAAATATATAAAGAAACTCATAAATACAAGATAAAGGAAACCTTTACCTGCTGCCCTGTAAAGTATTTTAGGTTCAAAAAATATACAAGGGTTTCTGTCCTCTATGCATGACAAAAGAAGTCCCTTGGCCTGGAAAGGGCTTCTGGGCACAACCACCTGCAAAAACAGATTTTTGAAAAGACAATTTTAATTAAAATATATTCCAGTACACTCATGATAAGGTTTTGCCTGTAAGTAAACAATTTTGACAAATTAAACACAGAAATCTGTTCAAGTAAAAAAAAAAAAATCTATTATTTTAACAAATAAGATGTCTACTATTTTTGATAACTAAGATCGTCTTTAGATAAGATTGTATATGTTAAAATAAAATTAAAGAAATCCACAAGTAGAAATTATAAAAACAAAAGTAAAATGGTCATTATCTTCCTGTCCTCACTTACAAATTTTAAAAATCTCTTCTACCACCATTCTTTTGTTTTTCATTTTGTATGCAACCATCTCCTCTGATTTTAATACATCAAAAACTCCTTTATTATATGTTGCCACTGTTGTAGAATGAGGCTGGCATTGGGGTGGGGGTAAGTCTGAGAAAAACTGGATGAAATATGTTTACGGCATTGAAGTCTATGGGGGAGAGAATAG